ATTTTACTTTCAAGATCGTTGTTGGTTTTGGATATGAGTTTATTTTCATTTTTCAATTTTGAAATATCATTTTTATATTTTAAAAACAATTTCTCATAATCCGAAGCCAACCCATTATATTCCTCTAACAACTCATCATAAGATAAATCATCCAAATCGAATGAGTTACAGGTTACCTTAGAATCTTCCCCGAATGCCATCAAGCACAAGTTTGCTACTTCTTGTTTCTTTTCATCGGAACCTTCTTTATCGCTCCATGTAGCCACATGAGCTTTGTGCTTATTCTTTGATTAACCCTTTTTCTTTAATTGTGGGCAATCATATTTGACATGCCCTGGCTTTTTGCATTCATAGCAAATGATTGGGTCGTTCTCTTTTGGTTCATTTTTGAGGCCTTCATTTCGTTTGAATTTTCTTCCTCGGTAAGGTCTCATCATTTTTCTGAACCGTTTGGCAAGCAATGTCATTTCCTCGTCATCGTCATTTTCATCCGAATCACTCTCATCTTTTGTGGATTTGAGAGCAACTCCAATGTTTTTCTTCTTCTCCTTCTTCTTTAGTGTCTCGTCAATCTTATCAAGGTCCACCTCATCTTCAAGCATCATTTCATGAGTGAGGAGGGAACCGATTAGCTCTTCAAGAGTTAAGGACTTTAGGTTCTTAGCCTCGATAATTGACGTCTTCTTGGATTGCCACGATTTTGGAAGTGAGTAAACTAACTTCCTCACAAGCTTTTCAATTGGAATGATCTCTCTATATGATTTGAGACCATTGACAATTGTTGAGAATCTATCCGTCATAGCTTTGATATCTTCATTTGGTTTCATCCTGAAATTTTCATAGCTATGTGTTAGAAAACTAATTTTAGATTTTTTTACCTCGTCGGTTCCTTCATGAGTGACTTGTAGTTTATCCCATATTTCTTTAGCGGTTGTACAAGATGAAACTCTCTCATATTCATCTGGTCTAAGATCACAAAATATGATATTGATGGCTTTTGAGTTGAGCTGGAACATTCTTGTCTCTCCTTCACTCCACAATCTTGGATGAGTGAGAGGTTTGATGTATCCGTCTTCTACAACATTACATGCTCTCATGTCACTTGCTTGGATGAAATAAATCATCCTATTCTTCCAATAGGCATAGTTATCTCCATTGAATAAAGGAGGCTTGTTGACAGGCATCAAATCAAGACCGGAGTCGACGTTTTAAGTGGAGGCCATTGATGACTTGATTATCGATATAACTCTTCCCGAATCGACTCAAGAGGTGATTAAACCTTCAAATGAGTGATGCTCTGATACCAATTATTGAGTTAATCGATCGATGGAATCGGCCAAGAGGGGGTGAATTGGAAATTAAAAATTCGGTGGAAGCTTGTGCAGAAAATTGAAAAGATTTGCACAGTGATTTAGAGTGGTTCAACTTTCTCAATCAAAGTCTACGTCCACTACCTTAGCTATCCACACTAAGGATTTTCCAAAAAATTTACTAATTTGTTCTTTCTTTTGAGGCCAAAGAGATAACCTTACAAACTCCCTCAAGAATATACCCCAATTCTTGAGAACACTCTTTCTCAAAGAGAATATTACAAATTTGCAAACTTACAAGGAAAATCTCATAAGGCAATATATTTGCACAATTCTAGAAAAAGATAAGAACACTCAAAGATGATTAAAAATGAGCACAAATAGTGTTCTTGAAAGAAAAATGAATATTGAAAGGAAATTTGGCTTGAATTGCACAAACTTGATGTTTGATGCTTTCTCTCTTGTTTCTCTAGTGATTCTTCTTGATTGTTATTGATCAATGGCTTCTAGACGTGTTTAAATACTGCTTCAAATGATTCTGAACATTGGGGATGGTTAGTGGAGTCAATAGAGCCATTTAAGTGTGAAAACAATTAATTAAAGCAGTTGGGAGCGTCAGTGCATCGATGCATACCTATGGTGCATCGGTGCATCAAGTGTAAAATTCAAATATTTTGATCGTTGGACCCTTAGTACACCGAATCGTTGGACCCTTAGTGCATCGATGCACTAAGAGTGCAACGATGCATAAAATGCATTCGATGTTTCAAAATAGCCAGAGTGCATCGATGCATGGTTTGTGCATCGATGCATCAAACGCACTGAGTGCATCGATGCATAAAATGCATTCGATGTTTAATTTAATCCATGGTGCATTGATGCATGGATTGGTGCATCGGTGCATCACTTTGAAAAATTGATTTTAGGCTTGATTTTGGTTCAAAATATTTTGTGAAAATTGTTTTAAAAATAGTTTAAGTATAAAACACAATTTTACACATTTAATAAGATTTGAAATTGATCTTGAAGGACTTGGAGTAATAATTTGATATTCGATTAATTAAATCAAATATTCTTAGAAAATCATTTGTAAAATCTTAAAATTCATTTAAACTTAATTTGTTATATCAAAACATCAAAATGTTTTCAACAATATGGTGGCTACAAGCTGAATCTAACAGCCATGAACTGGAACAGCTGGTTGATGGCGTAGCAGCGAATGCGAAATCTAAATCTGCATCATCATACTCGACCACATTTGACTCTGAGACAGCCTTTCCTCTTTCAGGTTTGCCTTTATTCTTTAGTCTGGGACATTCTTTCTTTCAGTGCCCTTTTTCTCGACAAAAGGCACATTCATCTTTGCTCGATCTGGACTTTGACTTCGATCTCCCTCTCCTTTCTTTATTATGACTCTTCAAACGACCACTAACAACAAGAGCTTCTGCTTCGACACTTGTGTTTTCTTGCTTGTCTTTCTTTCTCAATTCATAACTATACAAGGCAGCTGTTACTTCACTAAGAGACATTAACCTTCCCATGAAGTATAATAGTTTAAGATACTCAAACTCATCAGGAAGTGATCCCATCAACATCAGAGCCAGATCTTCATCTTCAAAAGTCACATCCATATTCATCAGATCAGTACCAGCTGATTAAAGCTAGTAATGTGATCATTCATAGTGGTACCTAGTACGAAGTTGAAGCGAAACAATCTCTTTTTCATGTAGAGCTTGTTCTGACCGCTTTTCTTCAAAAATTTCTCCTCCAGTGCCTTCCACAATTTACTTCTAGAAGTTTCCTTAGAAATGCATACTTCTAATCTCTAGAAAGACACGATTAAATAGTACCACATGTCAATCTATTGATCATCTTCCATTTTTTCTCCTCAACATCGTCTGATTTCTCTCATTCAATAGAAATGTCTAGACCCTGCTGAAATAGGGCATCTAGAACCTCACTTTGCCACATGCCGAAATGATCGGTGCCATCAAAAATCTCCACTGCAAATCTAACATTTGTCACATCATTTCTTGCCAAAATTGAAGATAAAGAAGTTGTTGACGACGATGTGGATGTTTTTTGTGTTGTCTGCTACAAATTCTATTTAATAGCTGTCAATGCGGAATGTCAATTAGCCCAAGGAAATTTTTTTCTAATGTGGAAGATCAGCCTAAGCCGCAACCACAGAGCATACTAAAATAAACCAAGAACTCTTATGCCAATTGTTGTGGAATTTGGGTTAATTTCCACCAATAATAACAAATTCACCTTGAAAACTATTATCTAGGTAACTAGTATGAAAACGATTGTACTAAAAATCACCCCAAGGTAGATTCCCAAGAAAGAGTGGAGGGGTCACAATGGTCCCTCTTAAAACCCACTTTCCTTAGACATAACTACCAAAACAAGTAATTTTAATAGGACAATAATTAACAACTATACCCGACAATAGCTATTAAATAGACATAAAAGAGAACACCAAAATTTAACGAGGTTAGGCCAAAATTATGCCTACGTCCTCGAACACTACTAAAATAATATTTCACTAATAGAGGAAATATTACAAAGAGAGAGAGAGTACAAATAACATTTAATATAAAAAGAATACTTATATTTGTGGGATGCTAAACTAAGGAGGATGAGGGCTCTATTTATAACAAAATAATTTCACATCCTCCTTATACAAAACCAACTTGGGATTCAAAATTTGCCAAAAAAACCAACACCCATTTCGTTTGCTGCAAGGCTAAGGATTTGCGTAGCAGTTAGTAATTGAATTCCTATGGTAAAGTAAATTTGAGGTTATTTTGTATTCTGTGATCTTATTTTATGAAAAGGTTACGCGTGTGAGAAGGCATATGTGAAAAGTCGCCTCCATTATTTTTTCTGTCTGTTTTGCATTCTCTTCTTCTTTTCTCTTCCTCTCTTTAAAAACATATTTTCTTAATAACACCAACAGGCCAGAGATGTTATTCTTGGAAAATCTCAAGCTTGTTATTAGTTAGCTCCCCAAACAAGTTGGTTATAACTTAAATCAATGTACTTCAAGTTCAGAAAAGTGCCGAAACCTTCAGCTATGATTCCATTAAGTTGATTCCCTTCAAGCCTGAGTCTCGTTAAGGTGGGGCAATTGTAGACCAAACCAAGGATGGAGAGCTTGAGAACATTAAATGAGTTCAGATGGAATATGATTACAGGGCTGCATGGAAAGCTACTTTCTGACATTAAACTAAGTGGTTAAGGGTAGCTTTCATAGTTATTAATTTCCCCAAAGACAGTTCATTGGCATTTGAAAGTATCTGTTAATTTAATATTATTCAAACAGACGTTATCGTGAAAATACTTCCAACTCAATTTTTCTAAACTTTTTCATTTATTTAAAGGATCATATCCATTCTCGTGTTCAAAGCATATATAGAATGTTTACTTGACATTAAATTCGAAATGACCATAGATTTTAAAAGCCAATAACAAACCAAAACACTTTTACAGGAAGGCAGCCTAATTAAGAGCAGAAAATTCGAACTGAACATAGATTTTTCTCTGAGCGCCAATCATTGACCAATGGGCAGCTAGCTTATGCAAGGATATCCAAAGTAAAACCTAGACATGTACTGCGGATACTTGTTGGATTGAAAGTCAAAGTTAATGACAATGTTTTATACTATAACATATGGCACTGTATAATGAGATAACAGTTCTAAAATGAAATATCTCCTTTTAAAAAAGTAGGTTACATAATGAGGTCTGTTTGCTTGGAGATCACTTTAACCATGAATATGATACATGAAAAACTGGGAAAATTATTCTTACCAATCTACATGTATATAAGGAATGACACAACATTAAAATATTCGGAGTTACAGCTGAGAAACAGGACTGATTCAATATAAGACCTTGGGAGGAAAGGATTCAGTCGACTAGCAGCTGAGAAACAGCGTACATAGTTGGTCTGGAATTTGGTTTGTCAGCCAAGCACATAAAAGCAATCTTCATCAGAGATATCAGTTGGCCCTGAACGTCTGGTAATGGAGGTAAAGGCCTTTGATCCAAAACATCTTCCACCAGAAGTCTCATTTCAAGAGATGAAGATGGTAGTGTGGAGATCAAATCCCCAGGGTGCGATCCCATGATAACTTCCATAATCAACACTCCGAAACTATAAACGTCACATTTTTCTGTAACCTTCATCGTGTAGGCAAGCTCTGCAAAGGGGAAAAAACAAATAAAGAAATTAGTCGACTATAGAATGATGATCTACATTTCTTGTCACAAAAGATTTCTATAACTACATCACCTGGTGCGACATATCCATATGTTCCCGCGAGATCGGTCCAATTAGATGAGTCTGGATTGAGAAGTTTCGCTATGCCAAAATCTGAAATGTTAGCTTCAAATTCCAAGTCGAGCAAAATATTGTTGCTGGATATGTCCCGATGAACAATCGGTGGTGAACAATCATGGTGCAAATAAGACAAGGCATGAGCAACACCTTTTATAATATTCACCCTTTTATCCCAATCCAATTCTTTTGCTGCTGCTTCATTGCTTAGATTTGTAGCCAAACTACCCTTTTCGAGGTATTTGTAAACCAAGAATGAGTGTTCAGCAGACCAACAAAACCCATAGAACTTCACGATATTTCGATGTCGTATATCTATGAATGCCATTACTTCATTCTGGAATTCTTTCGTAGATCTAACTTCATCGGAGTGCAGTGGATGTACCTTTTTCACAGCTACAATATCACCTGATGACAGCTCTACTCGGTATACGTTTCCGTATCCTCCTTTTCCAATGCAAAACTGAGAACTAAAGTTTTTAGTTGCACTTCTGATCTCAGAATATAACAATTTTCCATCGAAGGAAGATATTGTAAAGAGATTTGCATCAATCATGCTGCTTTCACTTTCTTCCTCTGCATCTTTTCTGTGTCTTTTGAAACCGAAAAACAAAGCCAGAATAGCAATAGAAAGGATAGCAGCTCCTAACAGAGGAAATATGATTGCGTAGAGTAACTTGCGGTGGCCTTTTTTAGAAAGATTGCAAGGTTTCAAGCCACTAAGATTGCCACACAAGCCTTCGTTTCCTTCTAATGCTTGTATTGAAGCCTTCTGAAATGCAGGAACATCAGGAATTGGACCCTGCAACTCGTTATGCGCTATGTCAACGTAGACCAAGCCTCGGAGCTCATTGAAAATTGTGATGCGGCCAGAGAGGTAATTATAAGAGAGATTCAACGTCGACAAGCTCTCTAAAGATTGAAATTGCGCTGGAATCTCTCCTGAAAGCATGTTATGACTCAGATCTAATTCAGTCAATTGAATTAACATGCCTATCTGAGCAGGAATTATCTGGCTGAAATTGTTACTACTCAAATTCAAGTAAAACAATTTCAACATATCCCCTATTGTCTCGGGGATGGATTGACTCAATCCATTTGCCGACAAATCGAGATACTCGAGATTGGAAAAAGATCCAACTTCCCTTGGTATACCACCAGAGAGTTGATTCCCGGATAGAATAAGCCTTGATAAAGAAGTCAATTTTGTCAGCTCCGTCGGAATCTCCCCAACTAAACGATTTGAAGAAAAATCTAGAGCTTGAAGCTGAACTGAGTCTCCAAGCTCAGGTGGTATTCTGCCAGTGATGTTGTTCCTAGCAATAGATAGAGAGCTTAAATTGTGGCACAATGCCCACTTAGGTGAAATTTCACCATAAAACTCATTGTCACTAAGGCCTACAAATATCAAGCTAGGATAGACTCCAAAATCTTCTGATATATTTCCGGTCAGCCTATTTCGTTCAAGGCGCAATCTTTTAAGGCTGCTGCAATTTTGCAAGTTTTGGGGTATTGGACCTCTGAAATGGTTGTCATTGGCTACGAAATATTCCAGTGCTCCACCTCTGCAAACGTTTTGCGGCAGCTCCCCAGTGAATTGGTTTATATCAAGTTCCAACATCCACATGTTCATGAAGTTCCCAATTTCTTGAGGTATGGGGCCGGAAAGCCGGTTGTCTCGGAGGAGCAAAGTTTCCAAATTGCTCAAATTAGAAAATGAAGATGGAACAGAACCACTGAGCTGGTTTTGGCTTAACTCTAGGAAAATCAATGATTGCAAGTTCCCTAACTCTTCAGGAATGGGACCGAAAAGCTTATTTTCATAGAGTTGGAGAATGGTCAGACTTGTCAAGTTTCCAAATGAGGGTGGGATGAAACCAGAAAGATTGTTTTTATAAAGTACTAATTTGCTGAGCGATCTCATATGCCCCAGTTCAGAAGGGATGGAACCTGTGAGTTGGTTGATGGCAATATAAAGATTTTGCAAGTTGGTAAGGTTTCCCATTTCTGAAGGAATGTTACCAGAAAGGGAATTATTTAACATATACAAGTAGGTCAGGTTGGCCAGATTGCCCAAAGAAGAAGGGATGGGACCGTTTAGAAAGTTATTATGCAAGGCAAGCCCTTCAAGGGACTCTAGCTGACCTATTTCTTCAGGAACGGAGCCATTAAACTGGTTTTGAACAAGGTGAAGGGTTTTGAGATGAATAAGCTGGCCAATCTGAAGTGGGATTTCACCAGACAAATCATTATATGACAAATCAAGGTAAGTAAGTTTAGAGAGTTGATTGATTTGAGACGGGATTGTGCCGAATAATCCATTGATGCTAAGGTCTAACTCTTCAAGATCAGGCAAAGACGAGAATGGAAATGCATGAAAGTTACCTTCTACACCGTAGCTTGTAAGATTGATTCTTGAAACGCTGTCGCCCTGGCAATGAATTCCATACCAACGGCATGGACTTGCTCGTGCACTTCCCGGAGAGACCGTCCATGAAGGCAAAACAGAAGGTTTTGTGAGGGATTGAAGGGTAGCTTTCCATTTGAGAAGCGCAAGTGCTTGACCAGTAGAATTAGACAGAGCATCGGACAAACAAGCATGCAAAGTAAGAAACAGGAGGAAGCAAGCAAGCAATGCCACTCTCTTCATCATCATCATCATCATCAAAATAGTATTTAACTATGGATGTTTGTAATTAAGTATGTTCGTCTGCAACTTGGATATCCGTCAAGATTTATAGTCTTAACCTCAGCATGAGTCAAATTTTCCATTATTGGTGTTTGTTTTTCTCAGGAAGACTTGGAAAAGTCTCCTCACTCCATTCGGACCTTCCATCCCATCGTCGCCTACTCGACTTGAAAAGTCATTGGAAAGTAACATAGGCAAGAACTTCAAGCTTTTATATATATAACAATAAGAACCTAAAGTTTAATATATTGGGGTTGATTGTTCAAATATATATATATATATATATATATATATATATATATATATATATATATTGGAGTTCATGTTGTAAAACTAAAACCAATATATACTACGTGTTTTTGCATTCATCAATTTTTTTTATTAAATAATATTATTTTAGTTTTACTGTCATAATAATAACAAAAACCAGCATTCGATTCAATACACAGTTTCGAATCTAATAGTATAATGCTTACATTAAATTTAAAACTAAAGTTAAGTGATAATAATAATAATAATAAAGAGCCTCAAGTTTAATGATATTTGTTAAAATTTACCCTATTTAATATTACTTGTTTATATCTTTAATTTAATTTAAAACTTTTGTTAAGTTCTTTTTGATCCTCAAACTTTTATTTTTATTTTCAAATTGACCTAAACGTAACGTAAAGATAGTAATTTGTTAGGCTAAAGTCGTCTATTTTATCTTTATTAAAATATTAATGTTAATAATTTAAAGAAAAATATTATAAATTTAAAGAAAATATTATAATTTGTAAAAACAAATTTGTTAGCGTTTCACCAATGATGAAATAGTTTTTTTTAAAAAGTATTTTTTTAATGATTTGACTAAAAATGACAAAATAAATTATGTTAATTTAATAATATTATTGTTATTTTGTCATATTTATATTAAATTAATAAAAATAAATAATAGTTTAAAAATGAAAAATAAATACAATAAAAAATTTAAAGTTAAAATAATTAAATTAATAAAATTTATTATACCAAAAAATCATTATTTTATATACTATCAACAGATAATTTTTTTTTAATTCTACAAAGTAGATTAAAAATATCACTTATTTATTTTTGCTCACATCATCAGATTGACTTAATCGTAGTTTTTTTTAAGAGATTTGAATTTCAAAATATATTAAATATTCTATGCAATATAAATATTTCCAATATTTTGGCAATTATGTCAAAGTCTCTGCAGAAAACTCTGATGAGTATGTCGTTTTTTCCTCAACATTTTCCTCAGCAGATATAAAATTTTAAAAAGTGGGTATTTTTCGAGATGACGAAAATATCATCATTCACTATTAAATCGTAAAATTATCGTAACAGCTGTTATATTATATATCTGTTCATTCTTTTATTGAAAATGAGTAAAACAATTTATGTCGATTTCGAACAAGAATATAATAGTTAATTTGTTGAACTTTTACCTATTCTATTCTCAAGTCAGATGTGATATTTTTATATTTTTTAAGTGTAGATGACGATGAAATGAATGATGATTAGGATAAAAATTACTTTTATATTTTATAGGCCAGTGAAATGATGTCTACTTCAAAGGACTAAAAAACAATTTATTCATCATATATTATTAAAAAAAATCTCAAAGGAAAAAAAGGCACCTTCCTCAAATTTATCCAACCCAAAATACGACGTTCAAAAGAAAGCAAGTCCTTTATTAAAATATAACAAAATTTCTTAGCGTGGCATCTTTCTTTCTTTCTTCCAAACCAAATAAATACAGCATTTATGTTCTGTTTCATGTAATACAGAATATCCAATTCTGTTTTTCTTCTTTCATTCAATCTCTTTTCCTTTTTATTGAGTTGCGCCTTAGTCTATCACGTATTACATGTTTTGCACTTATGTTATTTTGTAGGGCGAACACAATGGCAACGACACCAACAAAAACGAATAAATATTCATTAAGTAGGAAAAAAATCATTAACAAACAAATATTAGGACGCGTTTCATTAGTAAAGAGATTATATCCATCATAACTGTTATTATTTATTTAACTATTATAAACATTAGTTGGAAATGCTTTATGTTGGTCAACCTAAGAAATATCATATGTAATAATAGGACGAAGATATCTCGTAATCTAATTATGGTCATTAAATCAGTTATAAGCAAATATCAAGTAAGCAACTCATCAGATTCGTTTTCAAGACCAAGTTTTAATTGTTGTGGAATACATCTATAGGATAGAGCAAAATCGAAACTGATAATTTGAGAAAATAAAAATGAAGATAAAAGAGACACAAATTTTACGTGGAAAACCCCTAAATAATATAGGGTAAAAACCACTGGCAACGGTAGAAGAATTTTACTATGAGAAAATAGGAATTACAACTTCTCTCGATCTACCAAGGAGAAAACAATGACAATTCTCTATTGATAAAAAGGAGAAAACAACTCTCAAGAAAACTCTCTAAATTCTCTAGTATTGGGAGAAAGCTAGAATGATTTGGGATGATTTTGAAGCTAAATGGGATAGGGTATTTATAGTTGAAGCTTAAGGACTAATCTTATAAATACCCTAAAGTACAAGGACTAATTTTAGCAATTTTACCATTTATTATTTTAACAATTTAGTGGCCAAATTTGATTAAAATAGCCGCCCCATGCTAATTAGTCTCGCATGCATTGAATTTTCAACAATCTCTCACTTGAAGATTTGATTGGAATAATCATATCTTCACACCATTCTTTCTACCTTGTACCTTTATGTTGCTTACGTCTCTGACAGGCCACAAGAGGATCGACATCAGGTAAATTTATCGACATTGATCGCCTTCGTCATGAAATCTGCTATGTTGTCTTTGGTATGGATCTTCTGCATATCTATCATCCCTTCTTCCACCCTTTCACGAATGAAATGGAACTAAACTCGTATGTGCTTTGTCCTTGAATGAAATGTTGGATTCCTTACTAGATGCAAGGCGCTTTGACTGTCACAAAATAGAGAGACATACTCTTGATTGTGCCCAAGCTCCTCCAATAGCATCTTCAACCAAATTGCTTCTTTACTGACTTGTGTAGCTGCTACATATTCTGCTTCTGTTGTGGATGTAGCCACAATTGGCTGCAACTTAGAAACTCAGCTTACAGCTCGACCATCAACTTTGAACATATATCCTATAGTAGATTTGCTTTTATCCAAATCCTCTGCATAGTCAGAATCTACATACCCATTGATTAGTAAATTTGATCCTTCGTAATATAATGCAATATTTGAGGTCCCTTTGATGTATTTCAAGATCCTCTTTATTGTATTCCAATGCTCTTTGCCTGTATTCGCCATGTACCGACTAACCACTCCCATTGCTTATGCAATGTCTGGTCTTGTGCATATCATAGCGAACATTAAACTTCCCACTGTCGATGCATACGACAATCGAGACATCTTCATCCTCTCTTCTTCACTGCTAGGACTCATACTGGAGGATAATTTGTAGTTAATAAGAAGAGGGGTAGAAATTAGCTTACAATCTTGCATGTTGAATCGTGACAAGATATTCTTCAATTAATTATTTTGTGAAAGCCAAATCTTCCTATTACTTTTGTCTCAGTGAATTTGCATCCCTAGAATCTTGTTTGCTGGTCCCAAGTCCTTCATTTCAAATTCCCTAGTTGTGCCTTCAATTCTTTAATATGATATTTGTTAGGTCCTACAACCAACATGTCATCCACATACAACAACAATATAACAAAATCGTTATCACCAAACCTCTTGAAATAAGCACAAGGGTCTGCATTAAGTCTGTTGTATCCAAGACACATAATGAAGGAATCAAATCTCTTATACCAACACTTCGGCGCCTGCTTTAGACTGTACAGAGATTTGTTCAACCTGCAAACCAAGTTCATCTTTTCTTTTTCTTCAAAACCTTTAGGATGGAGCATGTAAATCTCTTCTTCAAGATTTCCATGAAGAAAAGTTGTTTTAACATCTAGCTGCTCTAGATGTAAATTCAATGTAGCACACATTGCCAAGACTACTCGAACTGTTGTTAGTCTAACCACAGGAGAAAATATTTCATTGAAATCAATACCTTCTTTTTGAGCATATCATTTGACCACCAGTCTTGCACGATACCTCTCAACTTGATCGTCACAATTTCGCTTGATTTTGAAGACCCATTTGTTACCAATTGGCTTCCTTCCTTGTGGTAGTGACACAAGGTCCTATGTATCATTTTTATGAAGGACTCAATTTCTTCTTGCATCGCCATCATCCACAGTGAAGCATCTGAGCTGTTTATTGCCTCTTGGTATGTCGATGGTTTGATTATGGATGACATCTATTGTGCAACACCAGACGGTATTCCATGGTGTATGTTTTTCGCTGACGGCATTGTCCTAGTTGCTGAAACAAAAAATGAGTTGAATAGTAGACTGGCTACCTGGAAGATTGCTTTGGAAGAAAAAGATCTGAGGATCAATATTGAAAAGACAAAGTATTTATGTTCAAACTTCAGTGGGAACCAAAACGATGAAGATGTAGAAGTATGCATCGAAGGACACGTTTTCCCTTCAAATGATTGTTTCAAGTACCTAGGGTCTATGATACATAAAAATGGGGGTATAGATGATGACGTTACACACCGTATAAAGACATGATGACTAAAGTGGAGGGTTGCTACTGGAGTTTTGTCTGACAAGAAGGTGCCTCTAAAACTTAAGGGAAAATTTTATAGAATGACAATTAGACCAGCGCTGCTGTATGGATCAGAATGTTGGGCAATCAAGAATGACCACGTTAGAAGGATGGAGGCCGTAGAAATGAGAATGCTTCGATGGGCATGTGGTAAGACTCTGTGGGACATGACACCAAACTCTGCAATTAGGAGGTCCTTGGGGGTGGTGCATGTATCCGAAAAGTTGATAGAAGGAATACTATGGTGGTTTGGGCATGTCCTTAGGCGACAACCATCGGATGTGATCAGGAGGGTAGAGTCGATT